CATATGAAAGCTATAAATTAGTTTCATAGTAGGGCTGAGTACATTGGATACTTTTTCTTCCATTCTTGAGATACTTTGCTAAGAAGAATATTTTCCCGCTCCATCTATGTAAACATGAAAGAGGTAAGTCTCCATCTTTCTTTAAGGCTGCATAATATTCCATGGTGTACATATACCACAATTTATTGATCCATTCGTGGATCATTGGACACTTGGGCTTCTTCCATGACTTAGCAATTATGAATTGGGCTACAATAAACATTCTGGTACAAATATCTTTGCTATAATGTGATTTGTGGTCTTTTGGATATATACTTAGTACAGGAATTGTAGGATTGAATGGCAGGTCTATTTTAGTTCTCTAAGTGTTCTCCAAACATCTTACCAAAAGGAACATATTAAAAAAGTTATTCTGAAAAAGACAAGTAGGTATACCATATGGGCTGTGACTTCAGTGGAATCTCCTGTGCATCCACTTCTAATGATGAGGTACTAAATATGATAAAGTGGTAACTGAACTTTTTTTAAATTAAAAATTATTTAAAACAGAAAATTACTGTGACAAATTTCATAAAGATATTTAATAATAGTTACAATATAAAAAATTGAGAAAAGCAGACTATGCATGGTTTTTCTAGTTTTTTAAACATATATATTTAATATGTTTTAATTATGTTGCTATGATTTTTTTAAATACTTGGGTATGGATTTCATACTCTAGATTAAAAGATCTATTGAAATGTTTAATTCATCTATTTTTTATTTGTGAAACTTACCTTTATTTCATTTTCTTATATACATGCCTAAGAATGTAACTAATAAGTAATCAGATCCATGTGTAATGAATGAAGATCTGATGTCTCCTTTTCTGAACTCATGATCTCTAAGCATAATTTCCTTTCCCCCTCAGGGAAAGTGAGATAGATCTTAAGTTCTAATACAAGTCAGAATTTTTTTACATAAAACATCTGCCAGTCGTATACTAAAATGTGTACACATAGTAATTGCTCCACAAAAATATCACTATAGCATTTGCTTGAGGTTGCGATTATATTTATTAGGTAGCACTGACGCTCGTCAACCAAAGATGGAAACCGTTATTCTTAACTCAACGTATCATTAGAGAGATGAAAATCCACCTAGAGAAGAATTTAGAAGAAGAACGCCAAATACTACTGCAGCAACAAAAACTATGTCGCCATCGAGCACGTAAATATTTTATGGAGTCAAATAGGAGAAAAAAGTAAGTAATTGTATTTTATTCAGAAGTGTAGAAATTCAAAGTCAATATAAGTTAATGTTTTCTCTACTTTGTAGCATTTTATGAACCTAAGTCATTACAGTGTTTTAAAACATTGATCAAGATCATGTAGTTTTGTAAATTTTATTATTTTTCAGCCTAAAGCACAAGGATGGTGGTATATTCAGTTCACCAACAGTGACCACAGCAGTCATTTTTTTGGTCATAAGACAGCTTATTACACATACACTACTTATGATGACTATGCAATCTGTTAATCTTTTTTTATCATTTCATGATAAAGCAAAAGATTACTAGTTATTCAGTCTCCAATAGGATGTAATTTCATTTTGATTTATTATTCACTTCTATGTAATTTTTCAACATGTACCACCCTTATTCATTCAACAAAAAAATAGGGAAAATATGAATAAGGTAGAAATGTGATGCAGAGAATTTTATCAATGACTACTGGAAAAAAAGAGTTTTCTAGCATGAAGTAGAAACTATAATGAAAGTAAAGTGCAGCTAGGCGAGGTGTCTTACACCTGTGGTCCTAGCACTTTGGGAGGCTGAGACGGTGGATTGTTTGAGCTCAGGTGTTCGAGATCAGCCTGAGACAGAGTGAGATCCCATCTCTACCAAAAGTAGAAAAACTAGTTGGCATTTTGGCAGGTGCCTGTAGTTCCAGCTACTTGGAAGGCTGAGGTAAAAGGATTGCTTGAGCCCAAGAGTTCAAGGTTGCTATGAGCTACGATGCCATAACATTTACCCAGGGCAACAGAGTGAGACTCTTATCTGAAAAAATAAATAAAGTAGAAATACAAACTATCCAATCACTGCTTAACATTTTTCAGGATGTTTTAAAATTATTTTTGTTTTGGAGACAGAGGAATTATACCATTTTTTATTGTTTCGCCACCTTGTCCACATTTCTGCAATACATGAACAGCAGAAAGCCCCGAGTTTATTAACTACATTATTGGGCACATGGTGCAAATCCCATTTGGGGAATACAAAGTGATTAACCTATTTTTTTTCTGGCACTATATTTCTCCTTAACTCTTTCATTATCTGATAATTGAGTTGAAATTATCTACTCAAATTTAGTTTTGTTTCTGTTTTGTATGTATATATTTCTGTTTTTCTTCATAGACTTGTAAATTCAGATGATGAGACAATAGTCCTATGAAACTAACTGGCAGAATAAAACAGAACGGGACAAAGTGCCCATAGAAGACAAGGAAACACTACCAAATAACAGATGAGGGACAAGCACTTGGCAGCTTCACTAAAATCTGTGATAAAAGATTCCTTAAATATTCTAAATGTAGAAAAATTATCTGGAGAATCAGTGAAATAAATGACTTGGTGAACATGTATGAGCCAAATATGTTACCTAATTGTGAGAATATTAGAGCTTGGACGTTTCCCATAAAGTATGAAATAAGTAGAATATACTTTAAACAATAAGTCATATTTTCATACCTCCACATATATATGCTATAAGTTAAACAACATAAATAAATTCAAATAAGTTTAGATGTCAATAGTTTTAAGTATTCGGGGTAATACACTCATACTATATTAAAGAAAATTAGAATATTTGGATGTTATCTTTGACTGTTTCCAGTGTCAGTTGAGTGAATCATTTCTCACTCAACTAACATTTACTAGGAAGCTCCAAGATTTTATATTCTTTCTAGAGGATAAAAAATAAGAGACATGTGGGCAGCACCTGTAGCTCAAAAGAGTAAGGCACCAGCCCCATATGCCGGAGGTGGCAGGTTCAAACCTAGCCCCAGCCAAAAACTGCAAAAAATAAAATAAAATAAGAGACATGATCCTTGCCCTCAAATTACTAATAGTGAAATAATAAAGGATGGCAGTGCTATGTAGTAAATACTGTGATAGAGTCACCTGTGAGGTACCAAGGAAGTATATCTCAATGACTTAGAGGAGAAGGAAGAATTTCTGCAAGAGTAAAATCTTGTTAGTTAAACAAGAGTTAGCCTGGGAAGATGAAAAGGAAAGTTTTTTATTCAGAGAAAGCAATGTGTGAAAAGGCCTAATATTGTGAAATATAAGGCAAAGGTTTTATGCAACTGATGCTTGGGAAAATGTGGAAGAGTATCAGGAGATGTCACCATAGAACAGGTAAGAGACATTTTAAGAAATAACTTCTGTGCTGATCTAAAGAAATCAAATACTTAGATGATGTTGAAGGAATAAAATTAGAGAAGTGTCAAGATTAGAATTATGTTTTAACTCATTATAGCAAAAAGGCAGAGTGGATTAAAAGCACAGACTAGAGCTAAAGAGTATAGTTAGTATTACATTGTTCTAGGCAAGGGAATAGGTATGAGGGTAGAGTTGGGATTGAGTAGGTGGGACTGGCGGGAGTCAAGGATTAATTATGGGTGTCACATGAAGAGCATTGTCAGAAATGAAATACTTATAGGTTTAACATTTTAATATGTCTGTCTAAAATGTACATTTCTGTAATTTTTTTTTTGAGACAATTTCTTTATGTCGCCCTTGGTAGAGTGCTGTGGTGTCTCAGCTCACAGCAACCTGAAACTCTCAGGCTTAAGTGATTCTCTTGCTTCAGTCTCCCAAGTAGCTGGGACTACAGGCACCCATCACACTGCCTGGCTATTTTTCTGTTGCAGTTGTCATTGCAGTTTAGCTGGCCCAGGCTGGGTTTGAACCTGCCAGCCTTGGTATATGTGGCCAGCACCATATCCACTGTGCTATGGGCACTGGGGCCATTTCTGTAATCTTTTATAAAGATTATGATCAGTGTGGTTTGTTTTTTTTCTTGATATCCTAGAATCATTGTTATGAACAGTCAATATTCTCTCTATTACTGTATTGCCCTTGAGCTAGTAAGCTTTATTTAGTCTGGAATAAGTAGCCTCTAACAGGTAAGCTTTGTTACTTCTTCTATTAAAGATCTTTTATCTTCTCCTTTGCTGTTAGCTATAATTTTTCTTTTTAAAATTAAACTATTCTGAGATAATTATACATTCATAGGCAGTTGGGTTTTTTTTTTCCTTTTTTTAAAATTTTGTTTGGGATTCATTGAAGATACAAAGAATTGGGTTACACTGATTGCGTTTGTTAGATAAAATCATAATTATGTCCTGCCTGGAAGAGGTATGCCATACACCATGACCCCCCTCCTCCCCCATCGTCTCTCCTGACTTGCTCATTCCCCTACTCCCCCCCATATTAGCTCATCTACTTCCTTCATATTAGAGTTGAGTACATTGGACCCATTCTTGTGATGCTTTACTAAGAAGAATGTGTATCACCTCCATTCAGGTTAATATGAAAGATGTAAAGTCTCCATCCTTTTTAGTGGCTGAATAGTATTCCATGATATGCATATGCCACAGCTTGTTAATCCATTCCTGGTTGCTGGCATTTAGGCTATTTCCACATTTTGACGATTATAAATTGAGTTGCAATAAATAGTCTAGTGTAAATGTCCTTATGATAAAAGGATTTTATTTTCCTTCTGGATAGACATCCAGTAATGGGATTGCAGGATAAAATGGGAGGACTAATTTGAGTTCTTTGAGGATTCTCTATACTTCCTTCCAAAAAGGTTGTATTAGTTTGCAGTCCCACCAGCAGAAAAAGTGTTCTCTTCTCTCCACATCCATGCCAGCATCTGCAGCTTTGAGACTTTGTAATGTGGGCCATTCTCACTGGGGTTAGGTGATGTCTTAGGGTAGTTTTGATTTTCATTTCTGTGATGAGTAGGGACGATGAGCATTTTTTCAGATGTTTGTTAGCCATTTGTCTTCTTTAGAGAAGATTCTATTCATGTCTCTTGCCAGTGATATATTGGATTGTTGGATCATTTTTGTTGTTGTTGATTAATTGAGTTCTCTATAGATTCTAGTTATCAAGCTTTTTTCCAATTCATAATATGCAAATATCTTTTCCTGTTCTGAAGGTCATCTTTTTGCTTTGGTTGTTGTTTCCTTAGCTGTACAGAAGCTTTTCAGTTAAAATTGAGTCCCATTTGTTTATTTTTATTGCTGTTGCAGTTGCCATGGAAGTCTTCATAAAATTTTTCCCCAGGCTGCTATCTTCAAGTGTTTAACCCCCACTTTCTTTGAGGATTTTTACTGTTTCATGCCATAGATTTAAATCTTTTATCCATCTTGAGTCAGTTCTTAAAAGTGCTGAGAGGTACGGGTCCAGTTTCAGTCTTTTACATGTGAATATCCAATTCTCTCAACACCATTTATTAAATAGGGATTCTTTTCTCCAGTGTATGTTCTTGTTTGGTTTATAAAAGATCAGGTGGCTATAAGATGCTAGTTTCATCTCTTGGTTTTCTATTCCTTTTCAAATGTCAGTGTTTCTGTTTTTGTGCCAATAAACATGGTATTTTGATCACTGTGGCCTTGTACTATAGCCAAAAGTCTGGTAGGGTGATACCACTGGCTTTGGTTTTGTTACTAAGAATTTCCTTGGCTATACAGGGTTTCTTCTGGTTCCATACAAAATGAAGAATTATTGTTTTGAAATCTTGAAAGTATGACGATGGGTTTTTATGTTTGTTTGTTTGTTTGTTTTTCAGTTTTTGGCCGGGGCTAGGTTTGAACCCACCACCTCCCATATATGGGCCGATGCCCTACTCCTTTGAGCCACAGGCACTGCCCTGATGATGGTATTTTAATGGGGATTGCATTGACTCTGTAGATTGCTTTGGGAAGTATAGACATTTTCACAATGTTGATTCCTCCCAGCCATGAGCATGATATATTCTTCCATTTATTAATATCTTCTGTTATTTCTTTTCTTAGGGTTTTGTAATTTTCTTTGTAGAGGTGCTTTACCTCTCTTGCTGTGTATATTCTTAAGTATTTCCCTTTTTTTTTGTTTTGTTTTGTTTTGTTTTTTGAAGCTATTATGAAGGGAATTATGTCCTTGATTAGCTTCTCAGCTTGGTTGTTATTGGCATATACAAAGGCTACTGATTT